TGGTGAATATTAAATTTTATATGGGTATACTATATATAGATTAATTGCAAACCTGCCTATATTACTAACATGAAATAGTGTGCATTTTGAGAAAAGTATCATAGAATAAATAAAGTTTTAGTATCATAGAATAAAGTGTATATAGACATTACATTTAAGAAAACATATCATAGAATAACACTTTGAGTGTGTGTTCAAGCCACTATTTATTCTAAAATTTGATATCAAGTATAATTGAAGAACAACACTTTTAGGGTGTGTTCAATATGATGGAAGATTTGCTATTTTTTCTGGAAAAATATGTGAGTTTCTTATTTATTTTTAATGTTTGATAAATAAGTTGAATATAATATTTGTATAAAATCTGTCACGACCCAAAAATGGACGTGATGACACTCGTCTTAACCCACCAAGACAAGTCAGCCTAAAACTCAACCATTACAATAAAATGCGGAAATTTTTATAATAAACTCAAAAAATACCCCCAAAATCTGGTTGTCACGTGTACAAGCCTCTAAAGTATTACAATTGAATAAAAAGAAAAATACAAGTCTCATATGACATTGTTTCTAGAGTAGAACAAGATCATAAACAGGAGTAAGAAGGATCGCTGAGAAGACAAACAACTACCTCACAAATCTCCCAGAAGCCTTGGAAAAGAAGAGAATGACAAGTACCACAAAAATCCAGGCTCGTAACCTACAAAAATTTGTAGAAGCAAGGGGTGAGTACCAAACCACACGGTACTCAGCAAGTAAACCTCTAAACACGAGCTAAGGGGATAGAATACAAGTACTCCTTACACTCCAACCGAACCTTCACAACTATAAACTGTATAAAACCAGCCCAACCTAACAGTTCACAATTTACAAACACATATCTCAACAACGACATTCTAACAATCATATATTCTCAACAACAAGCTCAATATTCATCAATTACCACCTCCACAACTACAACCTGCTTAGTACCAGCCTAATATAACAGTTCACAGTTTACAAAGCACATAACTCAACACAACACTCTAACAATTGCATATCTTCAACAACAAGCTCAATATTCATCAGTCACAAGTTCCATAGAAAGGCACTCACAAGATCAGCAACACACAAGATCAAGTTCACCAATAATAAAGAAGTGCAATGCAATGAAATGCAATGTCAAGTATAGTGATGCATGTCTGACCTAATGATACACACCCGCTGTCTCTCAGTCCGGGACCCATGGGGGACATATTTGTCCATGCATCCATCGTGGCGCGCGATACGACCCTCGATAATAGTAACCATCGCGGCGCGCGATACGTCCCTCGAAATATAGTATCCGTCGCGGCGCGCGACACGTCCCTCGAAATATAGTATCCATCGCGGCGCGCGATACGTCCCTCGAAATGGTACATCCTCTTTATTTTCTTATTCTTTCTCAATGCACATAACACTTGTCAAAACCATGTCTCATAACAATGCAAATGACATGTTCACACAAATAATGAGGAGATGACCATTTTCATAACATTGCACAATTCACAACAAGACAATCAAGATATAACATCAACAATGATTCAACAAGCCTTTCAAACAATTCTCAACACATCACACAAACAATTGATCACATTGCCTTTTATTATCCCTTTTTCATCATTAGAATTAATCAATGTGGACAAGTCAACCCATCACCGAGCCTCATTACCCTAAACACATATTACAAGGAAATACATGAATTCCATACACTTAACAAGGGTTTAGAAATCAATTTGCCTCAAATAACCGAACAATCACTCCGAGACTTGAGCCTTCCCTTTTCACTGAGCTTCCAAATCATTGCAATCTATTCAAGTACATAATAACAATAAGATTTCGAAACTAACAACACCCATATTACCATAGGTTTAGCCTAGACCCAAAAACTCACCCAAGTTTATAATCAAGTTCTTAAATCTTGATGTCACTTAACCTTTCAATTATCATATTTTCCAAGTTTCAAGCCTAGGGTAATTTCCAATTTCTCTAATATCATAAGTATGATGAAATTTATATAATATAATACGCCTAATATTTCATTATGTATACCAATATATCACAGTCAAGCTACGAATAAGCAAATCAATTCACTGAAGACCATAGATTACAGAACCTATGCACCCTATACTTTTCAATCTCATCCTAACACCATTATTACTTAATCAATGCCTCAATATTAATCATTATTAGCCAATCATGACATCAAACAATTTCCTCCCCAAAACATCAAAAGAACGATCTAGCAACATTAATTGCACTTCACTTTGCAATATTAAATCCAACTAAATTCTACTCATTACTCTACATTCTATATTTATTAATGCTTAGTACTAATATGAAACGTGAGATCAACCTTACCTGAAGCCAACCGTGCTCGTGTTGATAGGGCTAGATAGGTTATCGCCTCTTTCTCCCTTTCTTTTCCTTTTTCCCGTCTGAAATTTTTGACCCTATTCCGTTCGTTTGTTTTTCTTTTTCCCATTTTGCTGACTTTAATAGTTTAGGGCTTTTGCCCTTAATTCTTTCTTTCTTTATTTATTTTCTATTATTATCAACAAAATAATTCTTTATTAAATCTGAAAATCATGTCACTCATTCTTATAAGTCATAAATTGTTTATAAAAGCTACTAGAAAGGTTAATATAAAAATAATTATTAAAATTCATAAAACGACTAAGAGGGTCGTTACAAAATCTAAGCAAGCACAATTAAGGTTGGCATGGGGGTTAAGGATGTGAGGGTAGCGGGGATGAGGACTATGAGATTGGTACATAGGCGTATTCAAAATTTCAATAGGATAAGTGCATTATTTTGAAAAGGACGATCTACGATATATTTTCTTAGATTGGAGAGAAGAAACCATTTTGTGCAGTTGATTTTCTTCTTTAAGAATCTGATCCAAGAATTGACAATATTCCCTGTTTCACTATAGTTGCCTTTAGGGGTGGGCATTCAGTATTCGATTTGGGATTTTTAAATTTTGAGTTTGGTAATTTTGTAATTGATAATTAAAAATAGATATCAAATATCAATTTTTTAAATTTTGATTTGGTAATTCAGTAATCGATAAATTAAACTTTAATTTGGTACGGTATTAGCTAATACCGTACCAAATTAAACTTTATAGCCAATTGTATTACAAAGTTAATATTATTTATTCAATTATTTCTATGGAGACACAATATAATAAAAGATTAACAAGTAAAAGACATTAAGAAAAATAAATTACCTCCGCTCGTCCTCCTTCTCTTCCAGGCTTTGAGTTATTTGTTCTTATTCTCACTCAAGTGATATAGGGAGGGAAGTTAGCATTTTTGAAGAGGAAGAAAACATGATGGAGTTTTTGTGACTACATAAATGTAACTTAACATATAATTATTATACAAATTTGATGTGATTTGACTATTACTTGAAAATTCAATGAACTGTGACTGAATTTCATGCCAAAACTAGATTGACTCCCACTCAAATTTTAGATTCAAACTCCCCTCAATGAACTGTGACTAGGGGCGTACAAAATCGAACCGAAAACCGAGAAAAAAAACCCAACTAATGGTTGGTTTGACTTGGTTTGATATTGGAAAAAAACCCGACTATATTTGGGTTGGTTTGGTTTTAACTAAAAAAACCAACCCAAGACCAAACCAACCCGACATTATATATATAATTTTAAAATTTTATTTTATTCATAAAAATATTTACTTTGATATAATTTTTAAATATTTCTTATACTTTTTCATAGTTTTTATCTTTTAATATATTATTTCAAGTTTGAAACTTAGAATTCTGAATGGTTCAATAAAGATTATAGTCCACATATATTGGTAATTATAATAAAGCTTATATCAAAATCAAATTAATACTAATGCAAAAAGAAAATCAATTCAACACTAAGAATGACAATAATATTGAATATTTATTCTTTGGTTTTACATTGATTTAGACAATTCAAATACATAATCTAATTTTAATTTCCTTTAGTAATTAGTCATGTAAGTAATACTTATTAAACTTATTTTAGCATGATTTAGTATTTTTAAATTATGATCATTTTCATTATGACTTATTAATTTGCAATATTTGTTTTACGCGATTTCATTATTATTATTTTTTTATTGGATATTTTAGTGTCATTACTCATATCATATTTTGTGTTATTTTCTTAAGAAACACCTTAGATAGTTGTATTTTGGTAGGGCTAAAGAAATATTTGAAGTACAAGTAAATTATATGTTTGTATGAATACTTTACCGAAAAAACCCGAAGATCCAAAAAACCCGAGGTTGAAAAACCCGAGTTTTATTGGTTTGGCTTATAGATTTAAAAACCCAACACAAATGGTTTGATTTGATATTTGAAAAACCCGAACCAACCCGGTCATGTACACCCCTAACTGTGACTGAAATTATTTACTATTAGTACTCAGCCAGGACAAGAGTTCGCTTGGGGACCAACAATGGTTATAGGCTCGGAGCGTGACAGTGTGGGAGAATTAGTAAAATTTTGTTAGTCGAATTAGGGATGTCAAACGGTGCGCACTACAACAAAAATAATTTTTAGCGGTAATTAATAATGCACATTAACAAAGGTTGTTAAATTTTTATTGATATTAGTTAATTGTCATTGACTTCAATTTTTAATTGCTTAATATTTTTGTTTAACCACTAAAATCAATATATTAGCCTAGCATTTACAATGCAGTTTTATATTACTCTTTTAAACATGTTAATAATCGTAAATCCAAAAGAACTTTTATCCCAAACTCGCAACCCACACGGCCCAGCTCCGCTCTGCATGAATTTTGAAAAAAATATATTTAAATCTGCTCTGCTTTATTCTCACCCCTAAGTCAAGTGGAGAATAGCGCAAGTGTGTGTGCAAGCAACCATTTCTTGAATTAATGACAAATTAAACATAGAATGAGAGAGTAGGATTGATGACTCATAAGCTCATCAACAATACAATTAAGACAATTACTACTTACTTTAAGGCACTTGTGATAGCTAAAATAGTTTGTATAGCTGTGAGTATGAGGAGTGTGATGGCTGTCATAGTTGAAGCTCCTACCCAAGGACTACTGAAATAATTGTGCTTCAAACTTTCCCTCATTCTGTTCCATGGTTTTTCATCACAATGTTTAATTGCTTTTGTGAATACTTCTTTGAAATAGAAGTTGGAATAAGCAGTGACCTCGTTTCTGATTTTGTTGAAGAGGCTAGCCACTTTTTTGTGATCTCCTATCCAGTTTGCTATGATTCTTTTACGGCGAAGCAAACTCACATCTTTATCTGAGTTGATTAGTTGATCCATAAAAATTGCATAATCACTGAAATATAAATATTGTAAATCAATTGATTGTTGCTCATAAGCAATGAAATTTTGCAGGAGGGTTTCTATACTATCTACCACATCAATAGAAGGTATTTCCATCAATCCATTCTCAAACTTTATATCAAATAAACTTGTCATATGATTGACCTTTGCAAAGCTAAATCTAACTTCAAAAAGCTCTGTTGCATTAGGCATGACCTTATTCCACTTCGTGTCATTGTCGTTTGACAATTTCTCGAAATTCCTCGGACATGAAGCAACATATTCTAACATGAAATAGTGTGCGTTTTGAGAAAAGTATCATAGAATAAATAAAGTTTTAGTATCATAGAATAAAGTGTATATAGACATTACATTTAAGAAAACATATCATAGAATAACACTTTGAGTGTGTGTGCAAGCCACTATTTATTCTAAAATTTGATATCAAGTATAATTGATGAACAACACTTTTAGGGTGCGTTCAGTATGATGGAATAATCAATGTGGAACGCCATTTGTATGCAACTCTTTTTCTCTACTTTTATTAGCAGAGAAGTCTTTAAAAATGAGGAAGCTGACTTTCCTTAAGAAGTAGGAAAATCAAGTTACACAACTGACATTCCATCTTGATAGTGTCCTCCCCACCTTCCGACCCCTCATCTTCACCTCCACCACTCCACATCCCCTACCCCCATCTTCACCTCTCATAAGTCATAGTATATATATACACATATTTTCAAGATAATATTTTCTTGCCCGCTTATCAAATACAAGAAAATAAGTAATAAGCCTACATATTTTCCGTTGTACCGAACACAGCCTTAGCATAAACAACAAATACAAATAAAATATTCAAGTTCCTTAACATACACACAATTTATCTTGTTCCCTCTCTATTAATTATTATTATTAATACATATATGTTAGCATAGAAAAAGATACCTCATCTTTTGTAGCTTCTCTTAGAGAACGTTGATCAATTAGTACTGGAAATTGGTCATGATCTATTGGCACAATCTCAGTACGGTGAGTCATAACCTTCTTGAGACTGTAATTCCAATAATCATATCATCATCATCATATATCATATCATATCATATATTACTGAAAGTGGGAAGACCTCAAGTTAAAAGTTAGATTACTATTTTGCCCTTTTTACTAAAAGTGCGAACATTAAAATGAAAGGTTGAAATACCTTTTTACCCTTCAAAACACTATTTCTATTTATTTTTTTTACAAAACCAAATATATATACTAATAACTAATAATTAGATATAGATGGAATCGGTTTTAAAAGTATTCAATATAATGTGCATTAAATTATTTAATGATGGAATTAAGTAAGATATATGAATGAGAATGACCCGTACTTTACTCAAAATATTTTTACGTTTTTGTCAAAGCATGAAAAATTTTAAGAGATGAAATTCAATGCACACTACATTCATTATAGATGAATGTAGGACATTTAAAATTAGTCTAACCTTAGACTTCTCCAATTGAGCTACTATAAAATAGTATAAATACCACTCATTTTCCTCAAATGGATAAAGGAAGTTGAAAAACTAAATTTTCTATGACAACCAAATTACTCGAAGGTAAATGACAACTATCCATCCAATTATTTTACAAGATGGTAAAGTTAGTTTCATCATTTAGACAGAATTAATATGCAGCAATAGTTTGGCTAATTCTCATTCTTTATTTAGGGAAGAGATATTCTTTTTTCGCCTTACATATTGTAAATTGTAATAGGACGTTATCTGCTTTGAGTGTTTTGTCGATACCATCATCTAAACAACTTTTTTTAGATTTGTGTAATACAATAATTATATCTATTTTCTTTTGCTATTTATTGTAATTGACACTTTAATTATATTGTAATTTTCTTTTGGACAACATCTGAAGTTTGAGGAAGTGGTGTAATTTCAGAGGCATATCCAGGATTTTTAGATGATGGGTGTACTATTACGAAAAGGTGGATTATAAATATAAATTGATCGGTTTGATATTAGGTTCTTATCACTGAAAATTATTAAAATTTTAAAATTATAGGTCCAAAATAATTTTTTATCCATCCAAACCACTTAGAGAGGTGTTACCCAATTTTAGAAAGGAAAATAAAACAAGATAGATAAGAAATTCATATTTCTAACCTCACTTAGAGAGATACTCAATTATCATCCCACGTCATTATATGATACTTTTTGTGTGGGTTTACACATCTATATTTAAATATGTTTAAAAAATATAACACTACTATATATGATTTTGGGAGGGAAGCATAGGTTCACGTGAATCCGATGACCCCCTCCTAGATACGCCTCAGTAATTTGGTCATCTTTTGAGGTCATCTTAATCGAGTGTGTCACCCTTCTTTGATAACTTCCTTCAATTGTAATTACACATTTTGAAAGAAAAGAAGTTAATTATTAGATGAAATATATGGGAAAAAAATGACGTTCTTGTAACTACAAAAAGAATAAGTAAGTAATATGATTTTACTATGCAATTTTTTTTTATAGTTAAAATGATTATTTAAACAATAGCGAAAAAAAAATTCTTAAATTCATAAATTTTCGAATCCTGAAAATTTATTCATAAATAATCTACAAATCTCATTTTAGACGTGACTTAAAATATTAAACCCTAAATAAATTTGATCTCCTACTCTTATTTTGAATTATTCTTTCAAGACGAAATATAGTAATTCAAATTAGACATATTATTTGAGGGTTCATTTCATATATACCTACTCGTCATGTGTCCGAACCATCTTAGCCTTGCTTCTGTCATCTTTTCCTCCATGGTGGCCTCTCACCTTGCCCTAAATAGCTTCGTTCCTAATGATTTCTCTCTTGGTATTCCCACATATCCATCTGAGCATCCTCATCTCCGCTACCTTCATCTTCTGAACCTGTGTATTCTTGACTGCCCAATACGATCAACCCCATGTAACAAAACAGGTCTAATCACCGCTCATTAGAATTTACCCTTAAGCCACACATTAATTCTTATCACACACGATCTCTTAAGTGAGCCTTCATTTCACCCGCTCTGGTCCAATATGTTGCGTGACATACTCCTATATGTCTCCCCATTACCTTGAATAACGGACCTAAGATACTCCGCCTCACGTGCTATGTCATTAAACTTGCACTTCAGATACTCAAAGTTGAAGTACGTACGACCATAGTAACTTATTTCATAGACCTGTTTTCTACAAGAGCAGAGCAAAATGCCTAAAACTCAAACAATGATTGTTACAGTAACATGACATTTTGATCTGAAGACTTTAATTTCATTATTTCTTTGGCATCATCTATAGATTAGCATTTTTATTAGGAGATACCAATCCGTTCGTATTTAATTTCCATCGGTCCAAAAGTACTTAACACAACAGAGTAAATATTAATTAAAAGGCAGATAATTTTTTTTATTTAGAATAGTCAGACTTCAATACAAGTATCGAACATACATGAGATTGGAGACTGGAAAAAAAAATACAACTACAATAACATACCAAACATACCAAACAATATTCATATAGCTCATCCGTCATTGTATGATTATCACACAATTTTTGATACAATTCGTAATTTTGAATTTCAACGAACTAAAACTAAACTTCAATCCAAAACTAACTCAATTTTTACCCAAATAATCTCAAATTTTATATTATAAGTTTCCTCGACGTTATAGTTCATTTGAGAAATCACCAATTCAAAACAAAATTCGTTTCAGCAAATCAATTTTGAGAACTTGAACTTCAAGCTCTTTCAAAATCTTTATGGAATAATTAATTTGTGCTAACTTATTGAATATTTTATTTCTTCTCTTCAAAGTAACAAAATGCATCTTCAAAAGATATCTCATCATTTTTTCTTATAGATTCCCCAACAAGGAAAATTAAAAAAGAAAAGAAAGGTATCTATTATTTAAAGATTATCAACTTTAACTAATCATTTATAAATAAATAGGGAAAATTACGCAATTAAGCAAACTTATACTACTTAATTAGTCATTATAGTTATAGTTTGACTGTAATTTTGAATTTCAACGAACTATAATTAAAATTTCAGTCCAAAACTAATTCAAATTTTACCAAAATAATTTCAAATTTAATATTATTAGTCTCTTCGACGTTCCAGTTCTTTTGAGAAATCACCAATTCAAAATGAAATTCGTTTTCAGCAAATCAATTTTTGAGATCTTGACATTCAAGCTCTTACAAAATCTTTATGGAATAACCTCCATGAGGTACGGTGTGCATACATTTTGCCCACTCCAAACCCTACTTGTGGTGTCGCCCAATTTTAAAGCTATGCCTTGAGCATAACTTGTGTGATTCAATTTTAAATTCTTGGCTTGCAGTTAGTAGAGAATATATACTTTTCTTTACTCTATCATCTTTCTACTTTAAGACTTTTTCCCCTGTCAGATTGTTTTTAAGCTTTAAATACTGAATTCCATGTTAACAATATTATCAAACTCTCAATATTAATTCCATACACACTTTACTTTTTACAAATTAAAAATATTAATTTCCACACACCTCATTTTTTTCAATTAAAAATATGGCTGATGCCTTTGTATCATTTGCAGTTCAAAAATTGGGTGATTTCCTCATACACGAAGTTTCCCTGCGTACAAGTCTCAGAGATGAAATCAGATGGCTGAGAAATGAGCTACTCTTCATGCAGTCATTCCTAATAGATGCAGAACAAAAACAAAGTGGAGATCAAAGAATTCAACAATGGGTGTTTGAGATCAACTCTATTGCTAATGACGCTGTTGCTATACTCGAGACTTACAGCTTCGAGGCTGGTAAAGGTGCGAGTCGTCTCAACGTTTGCGCTTGCATCTGTATGAAGGGGAAGAAATTCTACAATGTCGCCAAGGAGATTCAATCACTGAAGCAACAAATCATTGATATCTCTCGCAAACGAGAGACATATGGTATTACAAATATCAATAGTAATGCTGGAGAAGGTACAAGTAATCAGGTTAGAACATTGAGGAGAACTACCTCATATGTGGATGACCAGGATTACATTTTTGTTGGCTTTCAGGATGTTGTACAAACATTGCTAGCTCAACTTCTCAAACCAGAGCCTCGTAGAAAGGTCGTCTCCATTTATGGAAAGGGTGGATTGGGCAAGACTAATCTTGCGAGAAAACTCTACACCAGTCCTAATATAGCCTCTAGCTTCCCTACACGCGCTTGGATATGTGTTTCTCAAGACTACAACACAATGGATCTTCTTAAGACTATCATAAAATCCATCCAA